AGAACAGGCCGAGAACAGGCCGAGAACAGGCCGAGAACAGGCCGAGAACAGGTCGAGAACAGGCCGAGAACAGGCCGAAAACAGGCTGAGAACAGGCTGAGAAAAGGCTGAAAACAGGCCGAGAACAGGATTGGAAAAGGAAGGAATCTAAAGATGCTGTCTGAGCTAACAGGGTTTACATCAAAACATCTCAAAGTGCAGAGCTAAGCTTGGCTAAGAACAGGATTAAAACAGGTTGAAAACAGGCTGAAAACAGGGTGAGAACAGGCTGAAAACAGGTCGAAAACAGGTTGAAAACAGGGTTAAAACAGGTTGAGAACAGGAATAAAACAGGCAGAGAAAGGGCTGCATGACCAGGGAAACTATTTTTCAGACCTTCAGAGAACAGCTAATAATCTTTGCAAAGTTGGTGGAAACATTTTGCAGCAGCAGCGATGAATCTAAATTTAAACCACTGATGTGAAAAACTGTAAGAGGTGTGAATAGTTTAGTGAAACACTTCAGATAGTCAAATCTTTGCATTCGAGGTATTTATTTCCACTCTGCTTCCTGCTGACTCCCACCTGTTGATCTGTTTCTGACTGTGACCGTCCTACGTTTCCTGGTCCAATCAGAGGAGGCCGCTGCGTTTCCACACCTGGACGTCAGCAGGCTTCATTTGAAACTTTTCTTCTTGTTTTGGATTTTTCATCCGGACAGTCTGAGGTTTTCCATGTCAGGACAAGCACCAGTTTCCAGAGAGGACAGATATTTGAGCAGCAGAGTCTGACTTTAGTGAAGTTTCCGTCTGAAAGGCGGCCAACATGCAGACAGGAAGTGACTTTTCCTCTGCTTAGTTTGAAATCAGCGGCTGTCTGATTTCTCTTTCTCTGTCATGTGGAACTTTGTTTCAGGCTCTCGTTTCCGGAGGGTAGCCGTTCCTTTGGGACTCATGGGAGCCGGGGTGTCGGTGTGCTACCCAGCCCAAGCAGTGTCTGTGCTGAAGGTACCGCTGGCTGCTGTTTCTCTCACGCTGAGACGCGGTTGATGCTAGCTTCAGGTTAAAGCCTCTGCTGTCCTTCATCAGGTGACGGGAAACAAGGTGTACGCCGCCGGCCAGTGGAGCAGCGCCGCAGCATCATCGCTCCTCGCTGCCAAGGAGCCGGCTGGCAAAGAGAGGGCTTCTTCACAGCCGCAGGTTCATGACTGAACATCAGCTCTGAGAGAGCCAATCAGAGCAGCTTTAGTTAGCGACGCTCAACCAGAAACTCCTCCACCTTAAAGATCAACCTGTTTTCATCAGCAGCCGCCGTTTATATTCCATTTCCTGCACCTGAACTTTGCCCTTTAGAGATTACTGTTGATTTCTGGGATCTAAACTTATTTCGGTTCCCAAATATAATTATATTTCCTGCTGAGCTGGTCTGATGCCAGTTAGTTGGTTTTTCCCCATTTCTCCTCCGTAGTTTTCAGGAAGTTATGAAGATGCCCAGTTTGTGGTTAATAATAAAATTAATTCAGATCATTAAAGCAAACATATAAAAGCCTTTTTTAATGTTAATTATTATTAATTGTTAATTATTAATCTCTTCTATACTTGTATTCCTTCACATTTAGCCTTTGGGATCTTTGCCCTCGTCTTTATCGGTTCTGCAGGTTCAGATTGATCGTTAAATCTTTGTTATATTTGATCTGATAATCGATCAAAACCTGACAACCCCCCCCCCACACACACACACATACACACCCACCCCCACCACACCAGTGGTCAAGCAGGCTACTGGTCATGGCTTTAACAGCCATACGTTCTCCCAGGTCACATGACATGGAGAACGACGGTTTGTCTTCTACTAACTAACATAGTCGGCATTTTAGAGACTTTTATTGTCATTTTTTAAACAGAGTTTATTCAGATATAAATTTTATTTATTACAGCTTTCCAGATAGTAAATGAACATTTTAGAGGGAAGTCCTGCTGGTAGCATTAATGGAGCCAAACACTGTTTGTTGGTTAATTATTTAAAATAAAAAGTGGGCCTTTAACTGGAGGCCCTCTAAATATTCAGCCTGATCAGATCAGTCAGCCTCTTAGATGACTGGTTAGTATTTTTAGTTTTATCCTGACAAGCTCTTCTAGTTCATTTCTATGATATAAACCGTTTCCTCCTTTATCCGAATCCCAGCCTCCCTCAGAACCAGGTGAGGAGTCTGGATTGACCAACTCTTCTTCATCAGCTAAGATCTCCTCAGAAGTGGAATCAGCTTCTCTTTCAGACGAGCCGGTTGTCCCCTCGACAGTAGAGCTTCCAGGAACATCTCCAGCAGAGACGGGATCGGCTGCTACAGGTACTGATCCCCGTCTCCTCCTGAGGCTTCTTTCCTTTTACTTCAGCTGCAGCAGTGATGTTTTCCTTCTCTTCCTGTCCAGCTTCTGCAGCACAAACAGAGCCGCCTCATCCCTCTGAAGAAGCAGTAGAGAACAAGAAGCTCTCAGATGGAAAACCTGTTTCCATTGATGGGACGCCAGCAGGCGTAGAGCTGGAGACGGTCCAGGACGAGTCTGCTGCAGAGGAGTCTGAAGGACAAATTCCTCCAGGTTAGTAGAGCTGAAGCTTTTATTCTGAAAAGGACCTAAAATCAGTGAAAGAACTAAGATGCTGACATGAATGTATAAATGGAACAAACAGAAGAGCTCATGATGTTTGCTTCAACTAAAAGGCTCTTCCACCGTGGATCCTGTTGTTGAATCAGAGGCAGCAGAGGAGCCGTCACTTCCTGTTGCCGAGGAGACGCTAACCTCAATGCCGCTCAGGACGCCGCCTCCTCAGCAGCCTGAAGCAGGAAACACAAAAGGTACCGATAACCCCTGATTAGGATCCATCGTATGGATGTTTTAACCCGTTGCTGCATCGGTTTCCTGGTTTAGGTGGATTTATTCTGCAGAGCAACAGGAAGCAGAGTTAACATCCACGATTTAGACGTTTCTGCAAACATCTCAAAGTTTCTGGATTGAAAACTGCTCTGAACAGAAAAGTTTCAAGGATTGTAAAACGTTCGTGTTTTAGGCAGAACCATTTTGCCAAAAATCCAAAAATCAATTTTATTTGACCCCGAATTTTACTTTAATTTTCCTTTGCTTAAAGCAGAAGTCTGTAGATGATTCACTCCCAGGTTTCCTTGTTTTCTCGCTTGCATCCGTCTGAATGCTTGATGCAACTATTTCTGTGTTGCAGCTAAATCACTATAAATGTTTTACGTGCAGGGCTGGAGCGTGAAAGTCAGTTACTTACTTTTCTAAAATGTAATTTGACCAAATTTAGGTGCCTAGGTGATTGGAGCATTTTTGTTATATTAGGATTATCTTTCAAATCAATGATTTTGTTGCCAAATCATTCATGTCTGGAGTCGAGACTCATGGTAACAGCTAGTAATTAGCTTTAGCTTTCTGCTAGTAATGAGCTTTAGCTTTCTGCTAGTAATTAGCTTTAGCTTTCAGCTAGTAATGAGCTTTAGCTTTCTGCTAGTAATTAGCTTTAGCTTTAAGCTAGTAATTAGCTTTAGCTTTCAGCCAGTAATTAGCTTTAGCTTTCAGCTAGTAATTAGCTTTAGCTTTCAGCCAGTAATTAGCTTTAGCTTTCAGCTAGTAATTAGCTTTAGCTTTCAGCTAGTAATTAGCTTTTGCTTTCAGCCAGTAATTAGCTTTAGCTTTCAGCCAGTAATTAGCTTTAGCTTTCAGCCAGTAATTAGCTTTAGCTTTCAGCTAGTAATTAGCATTAATTTCCTGCCCTGCTGAAACATTAACTTCTGCCTGCTGCAGCTTTTCTTCCACGATTTTCCCAAAATTGAGCTCCGATCAGTTTCCATGGAGATGAAAAGCAGCACCCCATCATGCTGCTGCCACCACCATGTTTTACAGCCAGAACCTTTTGCTGGACTTTATTTATTTTTTACCTTCTGCTTTATCTGCATGTCATCTTTGAACTCTTCCATAAAGGCCAAGTTTGTGACCCCTGCTGCGCTGGGATTGCTGCGCTGGGATTGCTGCAGATCCTCAGCCATGGGGGGTCATGGCAGCCGCCAATCAGGCTCACAGGGAACCAAACTTTCACTCTGCTTCTGAAACATTTCAGCATCAATCTATGATGGTTTAGGAACCTGATGTTGGATTCAGGCTCTGGTTGAAATGTTTTCAGAGAAGCGGAGCGAAGGTCAACTTTAAGCCTGTTTTTCTGAACTTGCCTCCAGGCTGTTTCTCTCATTAATGTTTTCTCTTCACTAATTAGGTGAAACCTAACGGCCCTGAAATCATTTAGAACCGTGAGCCTTTTGAATACAAACTACTGTCACGTTTTTATGATTCGTATTCATAAAAAATTCTGAAAACAATCTGCTCTTTTCCTTCCACTCAACTATTAAACTCTACTTTGTTGATCTGACGCATTAGAAATCTTTCTAAGTATCTCCTCTAAAGCAGAGTCTATTATCATCAATTATTCACCGACACAGAGGACGTGTTATGAACCATCAACGCCCACATTTGCGGCTCTCTGCTTTCCTCATGTGATGAGCGATAAGCTGCGGGTTGATCTTCTATCTTTAGCTCTTCTCAGAGTTTTCACTCATTTCTGTGCCTCCTCCACATTTCACCATTGTTTCCCATGTCTCCCTCCAGAGGGCTCTGGTTTTAAGACGGACCCGGCTCTCATGGACTTTGGCCAGTCCAGCCCTGAAGATGAAGACCTGTACAGCACGCGCAGCTGAGGGAGCTACCAGAGGAACCTGATTCTCACACTGCCGGCCCCGTCACTCTGCAAGCAGTTTGCAGAAACTTTCCATCGTTATTTCCACCTCTGATCCTCTGTCTCCGCCCACATCGTCATATTTTCATAGAAAATGTGCAGCATTGTAATAAATGTTAATTTACAGAAACAAGCTGGAAAATAAAGATCCACGCATTCAATAAGAAACGACAGAAAGAGGAACAGTTTATGTTTGTGTGGCTCTAATGTTTCCCACTGTTAAATACGCATATCGCTGTTATTTATTGTAATCCAGCCAACTAGTTGATCCTTTAAATATTCCTCTCAGATGTGCAGATTATGACTGCAGGGAAGAACAAAGCCGCTTTCTGCCAGATCAGGAAATGTTGCTGAAGAAATGCAGAATAAATCTTTATTTTTTGTGAACTCATCTTTCGAGTCATTTTTCAGAATCCATTAAAACCCTAAATGACGGAATTCAGCTAGCGCTAACCACCTGGTGATGTCATCGTTTGAGGTACCTGAAGATGGCGGTGCCCTTACATAAAATAAATAATGAAACAAAGCTTTGTTTTTTCTCTTCTGCTTTAATATTCTTCAGATTTCTAATCTAGTTATTGATGATAGTAAGACACCAGCTCATGAGTTAAGTTTGGTTGAACGTTGCATTTCCGCTTAAAAAAGAAGATCTAAGCTTTGCTTTGGGGGAAACTCTTTATGCCTTTATTCCTCCTTTTATTCGCTATAGTTTATCTGAATTATAAAATCATCTGCTGCGCATCTTTGGTTTAGTGAAGTGGAGCGGTTTAGGTTTTCCTGACTGAGCTCTGTAGCTCAACCTACTCCTTCTGTTTTCTGTCCTTTAACCTGCAGTCTGTGGCGTCAGACGGCTGCTCACACAGAGTCTGGTTCTGCTGGAGGTTTTCCCTCCACTGTCGCTACATGCTTGCTCAGTGGGAGGGATTGCAGGTTGGTCGGTCAGTTCAATCTGCTGGGATCCTTTAGTTCTAAACTTAACTGATTATAGTGATAAACTGTATTAGACTTCATTGTTCTGTAATAACTTAGATTCTTTGGAACGAATGAATCTGGATCACTGAATTAAATTGACTTTGTGCCGTGAGACAATATGTTTCTAATATAATTGTTTAATTAAAGTGAATTGAATGGAACTTTAGACACAAAGTAAAAAGTCTTCTGTGCTTTTCATGGTAACCTTTCCCTGGATTTCCTTCTGAATTCTCTCTTCATTCAAACAGACCAACCTTTGGAAAAGGTTCAGCTTTCAGCCGTTCTGTTCCAGACATTGAATTATTTCAGTTTTTCCGTTACGAGTCGATTCTTCTACAGACGGCTGGATAAGAGACGAACCTGACGGGATCAGTTGGATCCCTCAGCTAGCTTTCTGTTTCCTCTGGCGAGGTTAATACCGACCAAAGATGTTACACAATCATCACCTTATGAAGCCATTCATTCCCCTTGTCCCACATTTTATAATGTTAAAGCTGCCTGCTTTAAAGTATTTTATTGGTTTTAAACCATTATTTAAAATACTTGGAAACAATTTCTTATTGATAAAAATCTGAAGTTGTATTCAGGTTATTCTATGGCTTCAGAAATGAACAGAATCCATCTGTCTGCAGCTTAATCTGCCATAAATGGAGCTGAAGGCCAAATAGAATAAAAATAACAATGAAGAAACAAACTGGACAATAATCAGAGAAGCAGCCATGAGATCTACGGAGTCTGGAGGAGCTGCAGAGATCCACGGCTCAGGTGGGACGACATGTTAACAGGATCGATGTCAGTCGTGTGGAAGCAGAAACCCACAGTAGGATGAAGACTTTAGGAAGTCCTCTGCAGTTTCTCACGGGGTGCATAAGCTCACAGAGAGAGAGAGAAAATAAATCAATCCTGGAAGAAAAGCTTCAGCTTAAAAACAGGAGCAGGACCTGCAATGCAATGATTTACATCACAGAATGTCTGAAATCACCTGCAGCTGAAAGGGCAGCAAAGGTTAAATCTATAACATTTCTGAGAGGCAAAGTGGAATTTAAAAAAAATCTTTTCAGCCACTTTTTCCTTCTGATTAACAGAGTCGTTTGTTGAGTTATTGTCTATGATTTAAATTCCAGCAAAACACTAAACTAAATATGAACCTAATTTCCGGGAAACTGTGCTGCAGCCTGATGATGATTATCTCTCTTTAAAACATTGATGGAGACGCGACTAATGGTGGAAAAAGAGATGGCGTTCTTCCATTTTTCTTATGCTGCTACTGTGTGAGAAAGTAAGTTAGAACATACCTAACAAATAAAAGATCCTCCACAGATCAACATCATGCTGAGGTCTGAAGAAACTCAGGAAGAACTGAGATCCATCAGCCTGGAAACGGTTAGAGAGCCATGACTAAAGCTTTGGGACTGCAGCAAACCACATTACTGGAAAAACATGAGAGAGTGGCGAAGCTTTGCCAGAGAGGCGGGCCGAGAAAAAAGAGCCCAAAGAGGTCAGGAAATCAGCCTCCAAAGACCTGCAGGCCGCATCTTTCTCAGAGCTCGTTTCCACTATGGGTGTCCCCATGCAACCATTGCATTTTCCATATTAAGCTAGTTAAGTAAAACGATGTTGACCTGATGCCAAAACAAATCATAAATAACTCATTCACAAATCGACGTGTGCTAGCGTATGCTCACACGTGGGTCATAAGGTCCAGGTAAGTTATCTGATGGTTGACATACGTTAAATGTAAGTTACTCATTAGTTGCTGCGTCTAGCTTATCCAAAACCACTAGACTGGTTTAAATCTGATCTATCTGATCGAATTCAGTTTGTTCATGTTAATGATAAATCTTCCTC